CTTCCTCTGCACAACGTGAAATTGGGCATTTTCACGTCGTAGTTATGCAGTGACAGCAAAGAAATGTACAAAAAAGCGTGCAAAATTGTTGTTTTGCTAATGAAACCAATTGTTTTTTTACGTTCCCGTTGCCGTCGCCGTCGTCGGATCTTAAGGTCCCTAATGATGCCTTCCGGAAAACTTTGCTCAAAGTAGCCAAAAAAACTCTAAGACAACCCACTACGAGAGCCGAGTTCAGTCTAATACGCGCCCTGATTTCAAACTGACATACAGAGAGAATTATGGGAGGTCATAAAAAGCGTTCTTTTTTTGGGGGGGGGGGGTTAGGTGAATAGCCAGTGAGAATATCATGATAGTCTATCTACTGCAGCGTATTCAGTAAATATTCGGTAAAAATGAAATAGATAAAAAGTGAAAATCGGAAAAAGAAAACATGCTCCTCCACAAGACTCGGTAAAGGTATCTGAGAGAGATTTCTACAGCCTTGTTTTAGCAAATCCAGTCAGATATATATGTATTTCTGTTTTGTGCTGTATATTTACTTTGTACCAAGTTTATAACATGCGTGTATTATCAATGTATTTGTTATGCTTCTTTCCCGACTTTTTACACTTTCAATTACTATAATTATGGTCACCTAACTAGTTTAGCTTTTTAGTTATTTTGGGTGTCCAACTACTGTCTGTATTGTTCTTTATTATTATTTCTTGTAAATTCTTTTAGTAGTAGACACAAACTTGTTGCGTGTTGTTGTTAAGTATGCGCTCATCTTTTATCCAGTTATGGATATCTCGTAAAACTGTCTGTATCAGTCGTTGTACTACGTGCATGCACTTTACATAAATACATAACAATGAGCCCTAGGTGTCCCCCGCGACCTTAAGCAATTTCTGAATAAAACTCCTGGTACCAAGAAATGCAAAGGCACGTAAAAAACAAAATGGCGTCAATGGGTTGCCATAGCAAATCACACGTCAATAAAATATGCCGACGAAGTAATGCTAAAAGTGGGAGGCATACTCCCTAAAAAATCCAGTTGAACACCTAAATATTTCAAAACTTTTGCACCTGGGCGCGGTGCAACTTCTAAAGGTAGTACAATGAAACTCCTTACTACTCAATCCAGGAACTATTTTATATCCATATCGCGTATTGGGCAATCAAGCCTCAAATTTTAATCACCCTGGCCAGTTTGAAGATCGCAATGCAGATCTATGAGATCTATAATTCAGATGATCGCGTATTTTTTCCCTCTTATCTATGAGGTTCAATTTCACTGAATTTCAGAAATTCCAGTGAAATAGAAGTTTATTCGCTTGCCTGTTATCCTGCCTGTTATTCACTATTTCAAGGAATCAGAGCACACTGGCAAAAACGCGAGAAATTGCGAAATTCTAAAATACAGTAAAATTTCAACAAAACAAACCTCTGGGATAAAGGAGAGTCTGGACCTCAAGTCATAGAGACTAATCTCAGTGATATCGACACCATCAATCCTGATAGTACCCTGATGTGGCTCTGCAAACCTTAAAAGAGCAGCTAACAAAGACGATTTCCCAGCCCCAGCATCACCGACTATTCCAACCTATAAGAAAGTTAATAACAAACGTATCTAATACTATGTTCAAGTTATACCTCAGACGTTATGTTAAAGTAACTAGTAAAACCAGCGCTGAAACACGAGGAGTGTTCAGGACCCCCCTAAATGCATACATCAGTGCCTGGGAACTGCAATTATTAGTTACCATAGAAAGAGAGGACCATATACAACATTCGCTTGCGTTCACGGCCTTGTTAAAATTTGCCTGTGATGAATTTTGCTAGAAAACATAAGTAACTTCCAGGAAAGATGAGTATTATTACTCGGCAATTGAAGTTTAACCCTGCGATCATAACCTTATTAAAAATTTTTGAATCCGCCCCTGGCATCCCTTCAAAGAGAAGAACGATATAATCTTCTGGGGTTTCCTACTGAAGGGATATACCGCAGCACGTCCGCAGGAAAAAATTGCACAGAGATGTTGGTATTGTTTAAGTTGGCTCGATACGGTTTTTCAGGGTCAACGCCTCCCAAGTTTGAGCATAAACTACGTCGCCATTGACAAAGATTTGGAAAAACTACCACCACAGTTGTATTAGACTGAGATGAAAATTTGTTATGAATAGGGTTGCAACGACATCGGAGTTGTCATAGCAACGAAATTACATTTCACTTGCAGCCATATTTCTCGGCACTGGGAACTGTTCTTCCAAAATTGTTCACGGGAGCTTTTTCCTCCAATAGCCGACTCGATGTTCGTGAAGTTTAAGCGAAATCTATAAGAGAGTTATTGAGATATTTTGGGATGAAGATTTATGGTTGGAAATACGGTAAAAACATGTTCGCATTTTGATATTCAGGCCGTTATCTGTAGAAAACGAAGTGCCTTTGAAATGCAATTTCACATAACAGAAGTTTCAATGTTTTCAAAAACGTGTGTGAAAAATCACGAAGACACCTCTTGTCGATTGCTAGACAGAAGGATTTGAATAGCATGTATAGAGACGCTCTTGTTAGCGGTTTTGTAAACATTTTGGTGTACTTTAGCACATACGTTTGAATAAATTATTCACGGTATTGTCTCCAAGTTTCATATTTTCGTGGACAACAATAGCTAACATTTCTGCATATTTCAAATACATTGTAAGTTACTTCTGTTCACGTGAAAATTAAACTTGGAAACAATCGCTGAACAATACCCCCCTGAATAATGAGACTCACTTTTAAACACGAAACTTCCGACAAAAAATCTCCGAATATAACGTTTTCACATGACATCACGGCGGCCATATTGGTGTTCCAAAACAATGAAACGGCGGCCATGTTGGTGTAGCAAGACAACCCTGTGGAAATTGAACTCTTTGGTTATGTGAAAACTTTCTTTTGTTCCAATAAATTAGCATAGATGCTGGCTACGTGAGTGAAAAGGCTCTATTGTAGCCCTTATTATACTACCCGTTAATCTCGAGAATCTCAAATTGTTAAAAAATATCTATCGAGCGGCTTAAAAATTACTCGTTTATTTGTTAAAGTAGACCACAATGTTTACAAAACCGCTAACAAGTGCGACTCGATACATACTAATCAAATCCTACTTTCTTGCAATTGGCTGGAGCTATGTCCATGACCTTTGACACACGTTTTTTGAAAAGATTGAAACTACTATTAGGTGAAATTGCATTTCAATAGCGCTTCGTTGTCTACAGATAACGGCCGAACATCAAGATTGTCCAGTTTTTGCCGTATTTCTAACCAAAGAAACTTCACCCAAAAATATCTCTACACGCTCTTATAGATTTCGCTTAAACTTCACGAACATCGCGACGGCTATTGGAGGTAAAAGCTCTCGTTATCTATTTTGGAACAATAGTCCCCAGTGTCGATTGCAAATATTAAGGCGCCATAAAGTTCATTTCTTGTGTCTTAAGAAACGTATCTGGTTTTATTGCGAGTATTTATTAGTCGCGCGTTTTAATTGATCCTTGTTAAGTGTTTTACTGTTTTGTGTTTTTTATAATAATACGTCAAGGTGCTCCCTTGAGGTATTTACTGCAGAGCTGAGCCAATTTGTATGCAAATGTCGGCTTGTTAACTAGCATAATTAACTGACTAAAGGCTCGTGAATTGACATGACAATAAACTCACCAAACGCTGATAGTTAGTCGTTTCCTCGAATTAGAAAGGAGAAAACACTTTTGCAATAGTCAGTCAAAATTAAAATAGAGAGTTTTCAGGTCCACTTTGTGTATATATGTGTGTATGTTTTATTTATATATCCGATTTTTAGCGCTAAATAAGAAGACATGTGCTGCTAGGTAATCTCACTTCTTATTCCTATTTTTTAATAGACGTTCCACTCATTAGGTACTAGAATGGAGTTTATTTAAAAGCCAAAAGAGTAAGGGTTTACTTTGGAGCCACCTGTTGTTTTCTATAGAATTTTTATACCCTGCACAATACTTTCTAGAGAGTCAAGTAAGCAAAGATTGGCATTTTTGCTTGACAGGCAGTTTTTCGCTTCGCCGCGCTTCGACCTCATTTTCACGTTTTGCCCGAAAAATCAGTACGATTCGGTATTCGCCCAACCCCCTTTTCCGCCCTTTCGAATGTCGAGAATGATTTGCTTGGTAGACAAAAACCATTTTATGTGTTTGGGAACGACAGAAAAAAAAAGTGGCAGGTAAAAATAAAAATCTTACCTGAATAAATATGACATCATCAGGACCAAATAGTGACATGATATCACTTTTCTATTTATAGATTATGATCTCAATATTTTTTATGACGTCAACCCAAGGGTATTCTGGGGTCACTTGCTCCTTGCCAACTGAAAATAAACTATGACATCATCCTATCTTAATGAGGTGCATGGCGTCATTGGCGTAATTTATGCCACTCAAAAAGTTAATTAAATCCACAAAGAAACGGATGATTCGGTCCCTTCCCCACTGCTTTGCAACCCTGATCATAACAAATTTTCATATTTATCTCATACAGATGTGGTGGTAGTTTTTTATTCTTCTGGAATCTGTGCTGCTCGCATGAAAAAATTGAGGTCATGTACACCCTGGGCCTCAATTCGTCCGCACTAGATTTATATTTAGTCTCGCTTGCATAAGCAGCGAGACTCATAATCTGCAAGCCGTTTTTCTTCGTATTTAGGACACAAAAAGAGTATCATGCCCCCAAACGTTCCTAGCGGAGACCGTGGAAACTGGGAATAAGAATCGTTGCGTGACAGAACGCACGCATGTTTTGCGAAGGCAGCTTGGGAAAGATTAAATTTGGAGCTTTTCCAGAACAGGTCGGTCCAACAATTCTATCGCTTGAAAGCGTTGATTACTCTGGAACAAGTGAACACTATAGTGGTTGAAAAAAGAATCTTAATTAGCAAAGCTGCGATGGCCGGGTTTTGTAAACTGTCATTGTATGCAAATGATCTGGTGATGAGCATGCCGTTTATTTTCGGCGATAATTGAAATGACGTGCCATATAAACTACTTTTTTGATCTCTGAATTTTCGTGTACTTACACACGCGTATAGCCTGTGACCACAGACGCATTTCCGGTCGTCGCTAGCACGCGTACTAAATCAGTTCAAAAATAAATACAAAGTAATATCTCGAATATCCTCGACCGTCAATAAAGTAGGAAGTGAAAAACTTTTAGCAAGTAAATCCTGTTTCGTGTAGAATTAATCGCCTCTTCATTTCTCGATCTTATCTCTAAGCAAGCGAGACTTACCTTCCCTGTAAGAGCGTTCTTGTTAAATATAGTTTTGCAATCTATACACGCTCAGGGCCTAATCACTTAATTTTATCCTTTACTGTTTACTTTAACGTACCTTTTCTTTCGGTCTGATACAGAAATTTAAGTTTCTAAGCACACGTGGCAGAGTAGGATGATACTTGAAAGAAACGCCCTCTGCAGTTATAAGGCCCAGCTCAGGCAAGAAACCCGAAGCAGCAACCTCCCTATCACATTCGCCCTCTGATTCCAACTGACACAAATCCAATATTCTTTCCACTGCCGTCATCTAAAAGGTAAATTAAAATTAACACTAAATAAAGACAGTTATTAGCAGAGACCATATGCGCACCTATCTTTCAACAATACTGAAGGTGACATATCAAACACGCATAAAAACGTATGACCACGTGAAAGTACCACTGTATAATATATTTGGGTTGAATCCTAAACCACGCTCCAAAAAGACGTTTTAGAGACTGTTAAGGGGCTATTTACTTCACCTGATTTCCGACCTCGCCACTTTGCCTGACACACCACTGAAACATCCCAGTCAGCAGGAGAGCATACGTCACACACAGGCCAACCATCCCCGCCTCCATTTCTACATACAAAACAAATAGTACAAACTATGATCAAAACAAAACCAAATAGATTTACTTCACGTTTCGCGCACACTTCAGGGCGCATAAGGACCTTTCACCTGTCTTTTACACGATGTTCCATCCATTCGACATCTCAAGTACAACTTTTAAACGCGGCATTACTGAGTAATAATACTTAACAAACGACGTCTTGGACGAAATATGACATTACCTCCTCTCTCAGCTATGAAAAGAGGTGTAAATGACGCCATGAAGACAAATATTGTACACAGGAAATCCAAACGATACGCAAACCACCGTGATGCCGCGATAAACAAGAACCAAGTTTGCGTGTGATGATCTTGGCAAATGTCAAACTCGTGTATCATAAGCTGCTGTAAAGAATGTGCGCGGATTGAGGTCAGACCTTGTAGTGTTGTATTCAATTGTGATAGGATTGGACTACGGGCTGAAAAAAAATCAGTCAACAACACAATCGTCAGTTTAGTGAATGTCTAAGTTACTAGTATCAAAGAGGCAAACTGTCACTATTTCTGTTGGCTTTCTCAGGTAAGCAAATGCAAGCGGTTAAGGCCGAGCCAGGATAAAAATCTCCCCCCCCCCCACCCCGCCAACAAAAAAAAAAAAAGGAAGACGATGCACGGTAAATGTAATGTAGGGATTTCGATCTGATGACCTCTGATGTATATTTTTTTGGCAGACTGTATACATCTGTGTATATAGTGTATCCCTCCCCCCTTAATGTCGTTCGGGAAGGCCATTAGATTATCAGTTTCATTACTCTCAGATCAAATGTCACTATTTAAATATAGTCAGGCAGTAGGTCAGTCAGTCCCAGGATCTGATCCCTAGCCAGACAAATAAATATTGAACTCAGCTTTCATATAGGATATTTAACAATTAATGAGTGAGGCTGAGTATCTTATGAAGAATTATGGAGATCGAGGAGGGTGTACGGCCGAGGCGGATAACACCCTCCGAGATCTCCATAATTCGTCATATGATAGGAAAGCCGAATTCAATAATTGTTTTAATATTCATTCAAAATAATTCCTAGTTTAAAAACATGGCTAAAACATGCTTACCTGCATCGATGTTAAGTTCATCTTCGATAGTGCACGTTCAGGTTTGTCCAGCTCCTCAAATATTCTCCAAATAGCAGATGTCGGCCTTCGAGTTGTCTTATCTTGCTGTTCTTGTCATGTTTTTAGCTATTGTTTCGCCTAGTTCTTACTCTTGAAACGAGTGAAATGTCCGCGTCCGCCATTTTTCAAGTTCACAACCAAAACAACTCAACCTCGTCCCCAGGTCTTCTCGGTTAACTGTGCCTTAACCTGCGAAAACGCTGCATTTTTGACGTCATTTCCTCGTTAAACACAAAACTTTTCCAAATTTGGTCATCAGTAGGTAGGAGGGTTGTTATCCGCTAAACAATGACTCTAGAGGGAGACAGGGATCATCTTAGGCCTATCGATGTAAAAAAACTCTCCGCTTTCAACTAGAAACAGATATGTGTGGACAGGCGAAAACGATTCAAATGTAGCCTGTGTACAGCCCACCCCCCTTCCCTTAGAAAAAATCAGGGAAGGGCCCCTTCTCCTACTTTTTCTCAGGGGAGGGGGCGGGCGCCTGTACACGGGCTATTCAAATACGGCGAAGTGTGGTTAATCCACAACAAAATGTTTGCGGAGTCAAAATCGTTGATACTTAATGGACAGGGCCTTGAAGATCTCACACTGTGCTGTAAAAGAATAGAGTCGTAGTTACCTGAGGTTTCTAGGCGTTTAATTTCGCTGCTAGTCTTGAGGTAGTAGTTTCTGAGACAGTAGAATATGACAACCAAAGGTAGCAGCCCAATTGACATGAATGGCATAGCTATCAAATTGACGACCACAACAGCCGCCGCTAACAGTGCCAGCTAAAAAAAGGGAAAGAATCGTCTATGATGTGATTTATTATGTAAAACCCAGATTAGCCATTGCCGCGGTCTCGAGTCAAAAACCGGTGGTTCTGTTGGTGGTTCTGTTGATGACTATCGCAAATCAATCCAGTAGAACCATAGGCGTACGGGAATTTTTTTGCCAGGGGGGCGGTAACCCATTTGCCCAAAAAAATCTCGCAAGTTGCCCAAATTTTTACGAAAGAGTCGAAAAGAAATGAGGGCCATATTGCAACAACATAGGCCGTCCTGGCATATGAAAGGTGGCTCGATACGGTTTTTCAGGGTCAATACCAAGTCTGAGCATAAACTACGTCGCCATAAACAAACATTTGGAAAAATTGCGACCACAGTTGTATTAGTATAGGTAATAGCATGATTAGTAACGATATTTGGAATAAATACCACGAGTGAAATTTCGAAATTGCTTTACGTAATTTGAGACAATTTTGAAATATCACGAGTGGTATTTATGCCAAATATCACGTACAAATCATGCTATTATTTGTTTATAGTACTACCCGCAAAAGGTTTGTACTTTTCACATGTAGGTATTTCAAATTAAGCTGAAATACCACTGCTCTAAGCCAATCAAATTACAGAAATTTCTCATATAGTAGTATAAAGATGAAAATTTGTCATCATCAGGGTTGCAATGACATCGGAGTTGTCATAGCAACGAAATGACTTCCCCCCCATTGCCTATTATACTTCAGAAATGATTCCCGGCACAGGAACCTTACAAAATTGTTCATAGGAGCTTTTTTCTCCAATACGGTCGTCTCGATGTTCATGAAGTTTAAGCAAAACCTTAAGAGCGTTATCGAGATATTTTGGAATGAAGTTTTTATTATTAGAAATACGGTAAGAAAGGGAAAATCTTGATTTTTGGCCGTTATCTGTAGAAAACGAACTCGCGGCTTTTGACCTGCAATTTTACCTCATAGTAGTTTTAATCTTTTTAAAAACATGTGTGAAAGATCGTGGAGATAGCTCTGCCTGATTGCTAGAATCGAAAGATGGATTTGATTAGTATGTATCGAGACACTCTTGTTAGCGGTTTTGTAAACATTTCGGTCTACTTTAACAAATTAGCGAATAATTTTAAACCGCTCGATAGATTTTTTAAAAGAATAAAGATTCTTCTCGCTATACTAATTCAAACTGGGAATTCAGTAGTGAGCCACTTCTTCATTTTCATACCAATTGCTAAATGCTATCTGTCATACTCTGTTCTTCGAGTGGAGATGATTCTAGAAAGTTATGCGAAAGTTTATTTTAATCAATTCACGACTGGAAATAGCCCATTCCAGCTAGTGCAGTGCAGTATAGTGCCCAACCAAAAAAACTGCAAACATGTAAATTACTCATCACATGCTAGGCAACCACTGTAATGTAACTGGATTATTACGCCGACTTCAGGTTAATATTCAGGTCTTTAAAATAATTAAATAAACATGGAGACGTCTTTAAAAACTGGCTTTGCCCAAATTTTCTCTCGCTGCCCAAAAAATCTGAGTTGCCTAAAATTTGGGGGGGGCTGCAGCCCCCCTCGCCCCCCCGGCCCGCACGCCTATGAGTAGAACACAGCACTGAGTAAAACGGACCAATAACAAAACAAAATGAAGGATTTACAATGTTATGGGTCAATAAAGGTTAGAGCATGGGATCCGTTTCTTGCACAGTGCCTCTTCACCGACGTTTACATGAGACCACGACAAGGGGGGAAAGATACTCCAACAGCTCCAGGTACTTTTTTGGTATACCTATGATCCCCCTATTTATGAGGTCACATCCGGTTGCAAAGTTACTGTCCTGTTCTGGCGCGAAGCACCAAGATGGACGCCGGTTTGTTTTTTAGGGCGAAGGAAGAAGTCTCGATCGAGGACGCCTTACGGGAGAAAAGAAGAGGAGACGCCTGCAGGGGAGACCCTGGTTTTCCTTTTACGCCCCCAAATTAATAACGTGACAGCGCTGCATCAACTGACAAAAAATTGATTGAAAGCAGATAATCTAACGACATAAAACCAACATTAGACTACGAGTAGTCCCCCATTTTTCCTCAGGGATAGTAGAGCGAATGAAACGCGAGCGCGCGTGAAAATCAACCCACGCGAGAATAGGCGACACGCGGCGTGTCGCCTTTCCTCGCGTGGGTTGATTTTCACGCGCGCTCGCGTTTTGCTCGCTCTACTATCCCTGAGGAAAAATGGGGGACTTCTCGTAGTCTAAACCGACATAAGACCCAAAGAGAAAAATGATCTTGTGTATTTTTATATCTGCGTAGAGCAAATGATGTAACTTTAAATTCGGAGCAAACACGACAAACAGGCTTATCCAAGTCCCGCCCAGGTTTTGGTCAACCATAGCCTCCCCGCAGACGTCCTTTGGGGTTCGTTTGTCACGCATTCATTTCTCCCCCACGGGGGGGAGAAATGAATGCGTGACAAACGAACCCCAAAGGACGTCTGCGGGGAGGCTAGGTCAACCAAAGACGCTGCAATATTCGAGTTAATCGATGACAGGGATTTTAATAACGAAATTCGTAAGTCTTCTGTCCATCGCCGCTTCAGCTGATGCGTACGATGCTATACTTTCTCTGCTGTATTTCTTTTAAACGGTCCAGTTTTTCTTTCACGTCGCAGGCTGACATTCCCGTAGAAGGTACCTCGTCTGCTTACTCATGATATTATCCTTTGCAAAGGGGAAATAACGACAATGTTTGCAAAGACGGTTCCGGTCTTCCACTGAAAATTACACTTTCTCCGACCCCAGTTGGTAACACTGCCAAGAGATCTTTACCACAAAAAGGCGGCACAATGCTTGTCAAAAATGAAAACCGAAATCGAAAATCTGTTTGAGCTAGGCTCTTTAAATAACTTCTTGCGAGCACGATTCAAACAGTTCCTCCTCCGTTTATCATGCGCACGTGTGTTAGTTTGTGTTATACAAAAAGACTTCAATTTCGATTGACTGACAAATAATGCATTGAGGTGACAGACTAACCCCCAAGAGGCGTTCTTGGCTAATATCATTCTACGCACCGCCAGAGAACGGAGAAAACGGAAAACTAGGGCCTTCGCTGCAGGCTCCTCAGTCCTCTCCCCTTCGCGTGCTCCCCTCGCGCAGCCTTTAAAAAAAATAACCGGTGCTTCGTTTTGAAACAGTGAAAGACTCCCCTGACGTTCCTCACTTAAGATATTGATCGCGAAGTTTCGACCGCACACTGAATACGCCAACAAGACCGGGCATTATCCGCTTTGCGGCGAGGTCAAGTTTATTGACCGAGACCCTCACTGGTAGTCTCGCGGAGTTAAAGGGGTTATTCACTTCAGACTTTACCCTAACAACATCGACAGACACAGTGGGATTGAGATTCGTGAAGCGTGGACGCCTACGATCAGACAACACAGAGGCCGATCGCCACCACTACGGACAGCTGAGGGAATTATTCCCTTCTCTAATAATTCCAACAACGCGTTGGAGCGAAACCCACCAACCATGTATGAGCGAGGTTAGTGATACACCATGAATCGGTAACAACCATGGTGGTACAAATAGTCCTACTCAGTAAATCGACACTATCACCTGATGCATACAGTACGCGTTTGAAACGTAGTGATTAATATCCAAGCAACAATCGCGACAAAAACGATAAAAGACTGATTAACGAAACCCTTTAAATATATATAACAATTATTCACTAGCCCACGACACTGAGGTGAATAACTGTTTTATTATAACTAAAACAGTGAGATAATTGAGCACAAAAGTGATGATTTTTAACTCATTTACTGCTGCCAACTATTACAATTTTGGCACGCAAATCACCAAACGACCGTCGCGTTTGTTTGCCGACAAATAAAAATTTTGAAGGCATTTGTTTCGCTCTTGCGGGGAAATTTCTGCAAAAGGAGTTGCGAATTTTTTGGTATTTGAAACCACTCTGTAAAAAAAACTACGTATTTACTTTAGTTTAGCCAGCATAACAGGCGATTTATGAGCCAAGCCAGGCGAACGCTCTTTGAGCTCATGCTAGCCTGCGTAGCAATCGTTTCCGTGCGGTTTAGGAGCAAAGAACGAGGAACGAGAGTCAAACACCGCGCGAAAAATGGCGTAAGTAAAAGGTTTTCAAAATCGAGGGGTTTGTCTGCAAGCTTTTCCTTCTTTCCCCTCCCCCTTCCCCCACTTTCATTTTTTGGCTCTTGTTTCATTTCTCGCGCGGCCAAAACCGAGGTCTTTCTTTGCTCCGAAACCAAACGGAAACGCTTGCTACGCAGGCTAAGCTCATGCTAGCAAAATTTTTCAAAAGCGAACTGTTTTCGTGTTTACCGAAAGTTGATCACGTGATCAACTAATAGAAACGGTCTATTTAGTTTTACGCTTATTCATAAACATGTCAGCTATTCTCACTGCATATATAATGAGCGCCACACAGCAACACGTTTTAAAAATTCTTCAAATCTCCAGGGGTCTATCTTGGTAGCATCGGGTATGATCCTTCGCGGACCCTACGGCATAAAATCCAGCTGCGTCGCATGAAATCTCACAGTTTGACGGGAATGTCTCTTGGGGTACACTTTGCGCCCTTCCCACCTCCCCTGGTGGCGGAGACCACTTCTCACCGCAGCCTTGCCACATATCTTTTGCCTAGGCCGTCGCAGATTTCTCCCATAACTTAGTTTAACGTGATCGGCTACAATACAAATGCGGTGAGAATAAATTACTAAATTAACTAACGCAAGTCTCAATTTGTATTTGTAAACAAAATAATTTTTTTACCGGTTTCATTAATAAATTCAAGTCAAACAGACAAAGCTTTGCCTATTAAAACTTCCAAACCGAATTTCGTCACCTTCTTCGTGTATTTCGGGAACAGCTTGTTTGATTATTTTTGAAATTTCTTCGTTTGCTAGTGCAGCAAGTTTGACGTCGCTCGTTCGGAGGAGCTGGAGGTGAATCAGTGAATAGCACTGGGTAGCCAGAGTTTGAGTAGCCAATCAGAGCGCGCAAAAAACAGTATCCACTGTTTTAGTATATACTAATATATATTATAAAAACAAGAGAGGAAGGGGTTATACCTGAAGAAAATCAAACAATGTCTCTGGAATACGAATGTCCATGTAAGCAGTATCACTAGAAAAGTGACTATGAATTCTACCTGAAAATGGTGGATCCAAAAACAATACAAAAGAAGCAGCAAAAGGGTTAGCTATAGAGGTTAATAGGGATTAAATTACAGAAAATATGTTACTTATTGGAAAAGTGTTTTAGCCTATCTTTTAAAACTTTCCATATGTAGAGCATTTAATATTCTTACGAAAATCCTTCCCATTTGTAAGTTGATACAAAGCCTCTCCGCTTACCCTCTCTCTCCACAAAGCCACAGAAACAGCCGTTACTCATATAATAACAAGTAAGTAAATTCTTATAGCCTTGGTCTCTCTAGTTAGTAGTTAGAGTAAAGTTATATCAAAAAAGCATAAACATCAACGAGAATTCGCTGCAGTAACTACGAAACTGAAAGCCCCGCTTCTCAAGGTGACTCGACCCAGTTTTTTTTTGGGGGGGTACCATCCTACTTTGAAGCTCTCTGGCATCCCCACCTTTACTTTTATCGTAAGTCTAACACATAGAATGGATAACATATAGATCAATCTACAATATAACATAAAATTTTTGGCGATCGGAGTAAATGTCACGTGGTTATAATGCCACGCCCCTTTGAGGTCTGAGTCGAAAATCTGCTGTTGTTGGCATTTTTTCGTAAAAATCTCTCGGCTACACATAGTACGCATTAGTGCCTTGCGCTGAACAGAGTTTCACCAAAATCGCAAAGACCCAATTCGAGAAATTCAGCGGTTTCCAAATTTAGGTCATAATTGATGCGAAAATGATAAGCAAACTTTACACGGATTATATCTAATAAACTATAAGATTCATCTCTGTATTTTGGGCATCGTTATAACAGATGGGTCCTTGCAAGTCAGCAAAACAATTTAGGGCTTCTAAATACCCGCGATTTCGACCAAAGCAAACATATAGAAATTATAGTTTTCGCTATTTGTTAACGTTTGTCAGCGTTTAAGAGTCTTTCTCACGAAAAAAGCATTTTCTTAAAAATTCGTACTTTTTTTTCTTTCAAATTTTTTCAGGGCCACAATTGATTAACTAACTACCCGGACTCTGAATTTCATGGTCATTGAAAAACTGTGACATTACCTTCTATATGTCCAAACTTGAGTAAACATTGAAGATTTTTAACGTTTTGGCTGAGTTTGTGCTTTGGGAGTTGTCTATTGTTTCTAGTCTGTCATGATACAGCATTCTTGTTCAGCACGAGTGCAATGACCACGCTTGGCTGACTTCCGAATGCTCATCGAGATATGATAATTTAGTATAAGAAAATAGAAGGGATTCCCGTCACGAGTTGGTTTAATTATTGGCTTGCATTAAACCTATGAAAAAATGATACTTTTTTAATAGTAAGTAGATTTAGTGTGTAGCACTTCTTGATTTTTTCGCAAAGGCACAAGAAGCACGAGAATTGATTAAAAGTTGCGAGTTAAACCTCTATGTATCACGCGATGGCCTGTCTCACTGTATCAAAATTATCATATCTCGGTGAGCAATCGGAAGTCAGCCAAGCGCGGTCATAGCACGCGTGCTGAACAAGAATGCTGTATCATGACAGACTAGAAACAATAGACAACTCCCAAAGCACAAACTCAGCCAAAACGCTGAAAATCTTCAATGTTTACTCAAGTTTGGGCTTATAGAAGGTAATGTCACAGTTTTTCGATGACGATTTTGGTGAAACTCTGTTCAGCGCAAGGCACTAATGCGCACTATGTGTAGCCGAGAGATTTTCACGAAAAAATGCCGACAACAGCAGATTTTCGACTCAGACCTCAAAGGGGCGTGGCATTATAACCACGTGACATTTACTCCGATCGCCAAAAATTTTATGTTATATTGTAGATTGATCTATATGTTATCCATTCTATGTGTTAGCCTTACGATAAAAGTAAAGGTGGGGATGCCAGAGAGCTTCAAAGTAGGATGGTACCCCCCCAAAAAAAACTGGGTCGAGTCACCTTAAAGGAAACTAACGCTTCCAGGAGGCTTAAACAGCGCTCACGACATATCCCTAAGTCGAAAAAAAATTTAGTCATGTCCGTGGTGTAACTCATCTGACTCATTTATTTTGACAAAAATGTTACCACCCAGCAGTTTTTGACTGCATAGTAAGGATTCACTATTGCATTAAGCAGCATAGTAAACTCAAATGGACCAAATATAGATTTTCACACAAAGTCAACAAAACGTATTTATCATACCTGGTGGATTTGTGTCAAAAAAGTAAAGAGGTGCTCGGATCACAGCATCAAATAATTGACGGTGAAGGGCTTTGGATGAATTAACAGTGATATTGAAGAAAACGAATGCTCGTATTAACGACAGAATTATTGTAACAGCCACGAGACCACCATAGATGATGACATGCACTCTATTTTGCAACTTTCTGTTAGATGACAGGGCTGTATGCACAGACTTGTACAGAAAAGTGTCTTCACTTTGATGGCTGGACCTAAAAAGCGCAAGGGACGGATTTTAATATTTCAGTCCCGCAAGCGTTTCCAGGGTTACCAGTTAAGTCGAACGGCTAATCGCTTTTGCTTTGTTAAACAGAGGATATTTGTTAATATAATTTTCCACGGCAAAACGAACACATAAGAGATGTGCAGGTTGGGTGATCCATTTATAAACTACGTCCGTACAATTTCTTTCACTAGAACCCTGATCATCAGAGGTGAAATCCCCAACTAATAAAAAACATCACAGGAAAAGGGTGAACTTACTCCTTACACTCCTTTTATCCCATGCCATAGAGAATACAGCCGATCAGAAAGCGAGAAACTCGTTGCATATTCTGCGGTTTGCAACGAAAAGAGCCCAGCGATGCTCGCGGCCTCTACATCCCCCCCCCTCCTCTCCCCGCCCCCCAAATAGAGCAGGTGGCGCATGGCAAAACTTTTCACTCTTCGCAAAATTTTCAGTAACAGGTTCCTAAACATTACAGCACCATAAAACTCGACTTTTAACCACCATTCGTATTTCTTAGCATTCAAAGTTAAAAAGGTAATATTAAAAGAAAATAAACAGACTATAACAGACAAAGAAGTTAAGGAATTTGCTAACCGAGAGCAACAAAAACAAACCAGCTAACCAGTGTTGCTAAGACGGAAATGGATCCACACACCTGCACTTCCAAACAACACGCCTAACTCAAAAGTAGACAGTCGTGAATACGCAATTTGTTCATTGACAAGCTGTCGATCATTTGGACATTGTTGTTGACAGACATGGAGTATTAAATGTGACTTTCTTCGGGTATACTTGTGATGTAGAGTTTTTTTTATTTTCAGTCGTCATGTTGAGCGGCAAGAGATAAGTTAGTTATGCAATGCTTTTTCGTAAATATCCCACTTTTAACATAAATATCCCACTCGTGAGCTGATTTTTCTCTGTATACGTGGGATATTTCACGGCGTACCACTCGAAAGCATTGCATAACTAGTATGTCCTCTAAGCAGGATGTATAGTATAGTAATCAACTTTCGTACCACTGAGATAGCCACCAGTCACTAAATATGAACGCACCCTGAAAAACAAAGGAAAAAGGATAAAAACGGTCAAATGTGTTGCGTTACACCGAATCGCAGTAAGACGACAAACACGCTATGTTTTTCCACTTAGACTTTTATCTTGACATAAGCACGTTTCATGATTTAAAAGAAAATGAACAAATACAAAGGTAATCTTTGTTTGCTTTCTATGTTCTTGTTCGTTGTGCAATAGTACAAAAAAAACAACAAACACTTCTAACTTTTGAGATTTCAGAGACCTATCAAACGTCATTGCCCTTATAAGCGGGATAAGAATGAAGCAAGGCGGGGTAACAATTTTGTGGTCCCCCGATGTAGACTATCAATGGGACAAAGGGCATTTTATTTTCGGGGTCCAAAGGAATGGAATGGGCTACCTGACAATATTAAGAACACTAAAGATATTGATAGTTTGAAGCGGAGACTTTTTAATCAGATATTTCATACGAAATAATTTTGAATATATTTTGAATAATTTTGAATGTATTTTGACTTTAATTGAACTACTGTAAATAAGTTTTCTTTTCTTTTCTTTTCTTAATTACCAGTATTATGTAAAAATTAACACTGTGACTGAAAAGCTCTGTTGAAGGGAGTCTCAATAAAGTATGTATGTATGTATGTATGTATTGGGAAGGGAGAAAAATAAATGTGTTATGTTTACCTGAGCACCAACACCAAAAATTAAGACAAGAAATAAAGTCAGGCAATTTCCTCCCGCCTTGAAATAACTGAGATAAAGTCGGAAAGGAATGTTTCCTCGCGGCCTCTCAACATGTTTCACTTGCGGCTTCTCCTTTGCCTGACAAAAAAAGGAAACAAAAAACTGAAAACGGATCGTAACTGTATACATAATAATAAGGTACAGTGAGCAACTGTATCATGTTTCGAGGGGAAGCGAATGAGCTGAAAATGCAAATTCAGAGATTTAAAAATATTGAACGAAATGCTGACGTTTCAACGGCTGATCTTTCTGGCGTCGTAACAGCTCAAATCTAGCTTAGTGCGACCATGCTCTCCATTTGGTAAAGTCCGGAAAAGTCACGCGAGAGCAGCACGCGAAAGGAGGCGTGAGTGCGAGAGGCGGGAGAACCTGCTCGCGCGTGCGCAAGCTAGCTTAAAAACAACCAACATAAAAATCCTGACCAAAGCATGAATCCTTGATTTGCTTTGACAAGGTGCTAGCGATCGAACAGCTAGCCTTTCATCTCTCTGCGATAACCGATTTATCTTGTCCACTATGCTAACAAGTAATATTCTAATGACCGGTCCTTGGTAGCGTGACCCCTGAGGTGTGGTTCAAAGTTGTTTCTGCTTTTCAGTGTCTCGAAGGAATCTAAATTAGTGGACTCCATGAAATGAAAACTTTGTAAGAGAAATTTAATATGAAAAGTTATGGCCACAGTAGAAATGGAAACACATCACACCACAGCTTTGAACTTTCAAGAGAATCCTTCACGTTTAGCTGTAAAATTCATTTTTTTGATGTTGCATGCATGAGAAGTGTGATCCACAGAATAAGAACAACACTATCAGTAAGGGGCGTCAATAAAACCAGGAACATGGAACATCCCGGAACATTCCGGAACATCCCGGAACATGAAAAAATTAAAATATTTTTTTATGAAAAAAAAATTAATTAATTAAATAAATAATAAGAATAGTAATAATAATAATAATAATAATAAATAATAAAAAGAACAATAGATAGAAAACAATTTTTGCAAAAATTAACAATAACAAAATAAATAACATAACATAACATAAAAACGAAAAATAATGAAACAAACAAAGAAAGAAAGAAAGAAAAAGAAACTGGTATCATCTCCGAGTATGAGAAAACAATATTTTGTCGCAATGAATTTTTTGGGCGAGTGAGGGTCCATTCAAATGACAGTAATGAGTAAACGCTTGCTTCTAAATTCAAAATATATTAAAATGGGTCGCGAGGAGGGGGTTTTCAAGCTTTCCTGACACAGCCGCCTCTTGTAAATGTTTGCCATGCCGTTTAACGGTTATCAATTTACGGCTTTGCGACCGTAAGAAGAGCTTAGGGGCTCGTCGCTTTGGACTTGGATAATTACATTAAAGATTCACATTCGCCGTGAATAGTTGCAGTGGCAGTGGTAGCGCAGCCGTAGTTCCTAACTGTTATCAGTCAACCTTTTTTTTAGTCGTCTCCCCGCAAAGAAGAAGAAGAAGAAGAAGCAAGCCTTCACTCATTACTGTCAATTGCATGAACCCTCACCCAACAAATTTTAATTTGTTGCGACAAAATATTGTTTTCTCATACTCAGAGAGGATACCAGTTTCTTTTTCTTGATTATTTCATTCTTTTTCGTTTTTTTTTTTTGTTATTCTACGTTCTTATTAATTTTTACAAAAATTATGTTATTATTATTATATATATTTTTTTTTTTTCGTGAAAATTATTTTTACTTTTTCATGTTCCGGGATGTTCCGGAATGTTCCGGAATGTTCCGGAATGTTCCGTGTTCCGGGTTTTATCGACGGCCATCAGTAAGCGTGCAAACGTGTTATGAGATAGTACCTTGTTAGCCATGGCTTCAAAATCTGCTTCTATGTCAATGGAAGATGTTGTACTCCAGCGATTCACGGCTTTGATACCTTTAGCCCATTTTCCTTTCCTTAATATAACGCCAGGCAGATGAGGAGTCTGAGCCGGCTCTGAGTCCTCATCAATAGCACTGTCAGTATCATCATCATCATCATTCTTACTGCTGTCTCTGGGTCTAAGCAGAGATACCAAGTCTATACCTGAATTAGCCAGGTCCGTGTAGCTTCCTCGGCTATGAATAGTCCCCTTAAAGAGCAAGTGCAATGAATAGTTACGATAAGAACAGTCGTGAAATGACAACAGTGTTCACTTAGTTACTTTTCACGACCTATGAAAATTTAAGGACGGTTGACTTCGAACCACAAATTTTGTTACGATGTTTTTTGTTTTTACGTTTTTCTTCTTGAAATTCAACAATAAGTAAACTGAGAAGTTTAAAGTTCGTCTCGTGAAAAAAATTAAAACCTTCTGCATTCATTTGTCTCGAAAAAAAGGTATAGAAAAAAGAGAAAAGCTGGCATTTTGTACCTACTTGATCAATAAATAAAATTTCAGAGGCGTTGCGAAGATATTGAAGTTGACGAGTGACAAGAATTCTTGGGCAATCTCGGATGAGTCCATTGATGCATCTGTCGAGAGATAATCAACTGAATGTTAGGGAGACAAGGGAAATCGGACTTGCAGCATATTTTATGTTAACTTTTTCTTCCGGGTAACATGTTGAAGCTTACTCTATCAGAATACGACTTATATTTATTAATTGAGCTACTTTTTGCAAGCCTTGAAATTCTTAACGTTCAACGACCGAAAAGAGATCCACAAGCAAGACTTCGGAGGTTCCGAGTTAGAACACTAGGCACAAGTGCTTGGAGTGACAATTTTCAGAGGAACAGAGAGAGGCAGAGAGAGTTTTGATGATTCAGGGTCAATCTGTATAAAAACATCCATTTTAAACAGAAACGATTACGTGCGGACGGGCGAAAACGATTCGAATACGGATACATGAGAACACAAATTGTGTTGAAAACGGCAAAAAATTCCTTTTTAAACGGATACGTGTGGACGGGGGCTTAATTAGCTATGTTGATAGGAGGTCAACTGCCTAAGTGGATGCTGAGTGTGTTAAAAGCAAAATGCAGACTTTTTGTCTTATTGCAATTTTCTTCAGTTAGGAATTCGGCAATTTCCTTTTATGACTGAAGAAAAGTGGTACACGTCAACCTTTCAAAACTGTTTTACTATTCACTCCAAATATTTCCAATCTCAATAAAACTTCCTCACTCCTATCTAGAATTTTTTAAAAACGTGCCATTTTCTCGGCTGTTTCAGGAGGTGAGCGGATAATTGTTGTAGCAGATATCCCTCAAAAAGCAGCTGCCATCCTTTAGTGCTATCTTCTTGTATTCACGCTAATTTTTTTACCCTTTCGCCTTCGCATTATTGGTTTCAAAATTATTCCAAATCTTCAATATTTGGTCCTTTCGAGCTGGTAGTGAAGAATTAGCCGGGGAAACACCGGTTTCCCAACCATGGGAGGCGCTATAACTGAGCTGAAACGGACACACCTAGAGGCAAGCGAAGCCGATCCATCACTGTTAATAGATGGCCAACCACCATTTGTCGACCCTGTTATGTTTCAAAATATAAAGGAATCTATTACTTGTAAATGCAGCCTTACGTTTAAGGGGGTCTAATGGGCCCCCTGGCATAGATGCGATGCAGATGGGTGAGGAGAATCTTCGAGTCGAAGAAATTTAGAGCTGTTGGCTGCTGGTGCATTAGTCACGTTTGCAAGGATTAGCACTCTTGAAAATAACAAAACATACACAAATCTGGAAGCTTGTACAGCTTAATTGCCAGCTGATTCCGCCTTAAGATAAGAACCCAGCTGTAAGACCTATTGGAGTCGGTGAGGTACGGCAGAGGATTGTTGGGAAAGCCATACTTTCAGTCATTAAGTTAGAAATCATGATCTTTGATGAAGAGTCTACCAATGCTATGCTCCTGGCGGATGCAGACCGAATGGTCCTCCGATCCTCCACAATATCAGGTATTTATGCCCACCAATGCGTGGCTATTTATACAGTGTGTCATCACGCCTATTTGTACTTGGAGCAACTGAATTTCATCATCAGAAGGGACCACAAAGGGCGCGGGAGCCCCCCCAACAATGCCAGTATATGCTATTGGTATAATACCCCTGTTGAAGATAATCAAACCTAAAACTCCAGAAGACATAACAATGAAACATGTAGCCTTTGCAGGTGAACTGCTAGAACTGCGACGCTGGTGGGATACCATTGATCCGTGGGGTCCTAATGTTGGGACATAACCCAAACGCGTCAAAGTCGTGGCTGGTCCTAAAGCCAACATCAGAGGAGAAAGCACGAGAAATCTTTGGAAGAACCAACATTAACATCGCCACAGATGCGAGAAAGGATCTTGTTGGCTACATTGGAAGTGAAAGTGGATGTGGCAAATACGCTGAGGAATTGGTAAGCTCGTGGTGTAACCAACTGAAAGTCCTGTCAAAGATAGCAAAGACAGAACTGTAAACAGCTTACGCAGTATTTGTGAGCGGTTCACACTTAAACTGGCGTATTACATCAGAACAATGCCCCACATCAAGCAACACCTGTTGCGACTGGATGCAATTGTGGATAATTAATTTACCTCGCAATTACAGATGGCCAAATATGCTGGCTCCACGGACGAACGAGTTCTGCTCTCCTTGCCAGTAAAGAAAGGTAGTTTGGCAACATCTGTCCTCTCGGCCGTTGCTGATCTTGAGTTTGCCAACTCCCGCGCAGCTACTGAACACCTGTTTGAACTTAGAAACAATCAAGACAGCACAGCACCAATGAATAGTGAACAACTCAAGACCTCAAGAAAGGGATTGCCAATACCAGAGAAGAACTGAATAACACCATCCTACAGCAGCTCCGCGAGAAGATAAGTCCAAAATAACTGAAGGCAAAAGACCTGGCAAGGATGAAGGGTGCCTCGAGTTAGTTAACAACATTGCCATTAAAGTCAGAAATTCTCGACCTGAACAAAAGTGAATTCTACGAAGCGCTCAGCCTTAGGTACTGTTGGACACCGAAGAACCTCCCTTCTACATATCCTTGCTGCAAGAGATTCGACGTTGATCATGCAATGTCGTGTATGAAAAGTGGAACGGAGGCACGGCAAAGTGGGAGACCTGTTGGCACCTCTTCTCTAGGACGTATGCCATGGTGCTGAGGTCGAACCACACCTTCGGACCTTGACAGGAGAAGTTTTTGCCGGCAGTGCCATTTCCTCTGATGAAGCTCGTTTAGATGTCAGTGCGAGCAGTTTTTGGCAAAACGAGCAACGGACATTTTTCGATGTCTGGATGTTTGACCCTTTCACAAAGAGCCACCTAAACCAAAAACTTGACACGACTAAAAGGCGACACTACAACCACCGAATTATTGAAGTCGAGCATGGCTCCTTCAGCCCTCTCGTGTTCTCACCATATGGAGGAAATAGTAGAGAAGCCGAGTGATTTCTTACTGAACTAGCCGTGAAGCGATCCCAAAAGAAAAAGACGGACTATAGCATTGGAATTCATTGGTTGTGAGCAATACTTATTAAGATAAGCAGTGTTATGTGTAAAAGGCTACAGAACAACCAAATATGAGTTGAACACTGATTTTAGCGGGGCCTAAATCGCAACTGTGATTGGAAAGATAAAGTAGAAACGCTTTATCTATTTATTGTTATTATTATTATTATTATTATTATTATTATTATTTTGAGCATTGAGAACATTTTTAACCCAAGCCTAATATTTTTAATACTTTTTTAAAAATAGATTTTTATCAATGAATTTGTAATAACTTTTATCCATGCTTCTGTACGGTAATTTTTTATTGCATAATTTGTACAATAATAGAATACTACTACTACTAATAATAATAATATAAAATATTTGGTAAATGACGTAAATTCTTCAGATTTGGTTAGCGTACCTTGCTGAGAAAAATTCCTGGAGATTTTAAGTCAATTGGGTAATGAAAAGATCTTTTCTCTATATTTCATAAATTCAAAGTACAACTTTTAAAAGTCTTCAAATGACGTTGGATTGACTCAACTGCAGTGCAGACGAACATTACTATGTACTTACTGATCAAAAAGCTTCCTTCCTACCCGGACATCTACAGCACTAAGTGGATCATCAAGAATATAAATATCTGCTTTGTAATAAACTGCCCTGAAAACAAAAATCAATTTGACATTCATCTTGCGAGTTGCAAAGTTCAAAACAGGTTATTGGTACCTACACCCCTCTTACGGATTAAGGGGAACGAAGGTAAAGTGATTTCATGAGGACAAGGACGTTGTCTTTTTCAAATGTTTCTATTAGAGCAATAAATGTTACATTTAGTAGTGTCAAACACACATAAATCTTAAATTTTTTGGTCAATTCATTATCCTTAAGATCTCTTCGGTCAAACTGATAAATTTCATTCTTTACTGTGAAGTGACCTATTAAAATTTTTAAGCCAAGCATTTAACATACCTCGCTAAACAAAGTCTTGCTTTTTGACCGTCACTGAGTTCAATACCTTTCTCTCCTATTAATGTCCAGTCTCCCTCCGGTAGTAACTCAACATCCTGAATAGAAAACAAAAAACACAGCTAATGTCATACTCAATCCTAGTCCGCGCTGTACAAGTCCAGTGGTGCAGTCCTCGTTTTACGATACGCCATCCATCATCAACAACATCATCGTCGTTGTCGTCGGCGTCGTCGTCATCATCATCATTTATTTGCCTTATTTAAAGATTTTTTACTATGTTTACAGCTATTCTATTAGTAAGGAGACTTAAAGAAACCACCTCACGTCCACAAAATAGATATTTTCCCGATGACTTCAGAGTGACGCTTATGGAACGGTCTCTTAGAACGAAATGATGGCGCCCACGTGTGTAGCCTTATTTACAATGTCGCAATGTGGTTAACTTGTTCCAGGCTCCACGTTGGTCACGGAACTAGTGGGAAAAAACGACCAGCGTGTATAAAAAGGCGCGAGACCCTGGAACAGGTTACAATGAGGCCTGTTGAAAAATTGTGGGATAAAAACAACACTTTTTAAAAAAGTTAAGAAGACCTAACCTCGTTGCCTCTGTCATGAGTAATATAGAACACAGCTATTAGTTCTGACTTGCTGATTAGGTTTGTCCCCATTCAATGCATAAAGATTTGTTTAAGTTTCACTTAAAACCTAGTAGACTCAGAGTACCAGATAATGAAATAATCTGAAGAAATGGATGTTGGACAAGAATCTGACATTTCGATGGTGCTAAAATGAATCTGGCAATATGCAAAGGTGAGCAAATATTTGAATGAATGAATGAAGAGTCGTGGATGAGAGGACAATGGGCGTGCCCTCTTACAATATATTTTAACATGTGAACAGTAAGCTCGGACGTCAGCACACAAAGGCGCAACTGGCAGCCGCTCTCAGTCCATTTATGAGCTTACTGTACCCACCCAGCCCATGATGTGAATGATGTGATGTGTGTAGGTTGACCACATCACCGGGGTCTACGTCCCCTACTCTTTTCGAACAGTGGTGTGGGTTGTTTTACGTCCCACAAGAACCAGATAAGTATAAGTAAACATCAAATTAGTTTACCTGTTCTAAGGCGCATGCCCTGATCACTTTATGATATCTGTCTTCCTCAAACGTTTGCCCAAATATAATATTCTGTCTCACTGAACCAGAGAAGATCCAGGCCTGCTGTGGTACAAACCCAATCTTTCCTCTGATACACAGGTGACCTTCAATAACCCGCATTTCACCCAGCAGCATCATCAATAATGACGACTAAAAACAGAACATATAAATCACCAAAATCGTTTTATCTTCTTAATAACAGTGTATACCCAAACTGATCCACAAGAGTTACAGAATAAAACATAAACTTACATATACACATTAGAAAATTAACTAAAACTAAGAAAATTGTTCACAAATTATAAGGACTACTGTTTACAAGAATACGTAAACTATTATAGTTGTGTTCCCAACTAGTCGTTAACAAAGGAGGATACCCAGACAGTTATCTTAAATATTCTGCAATTACATAACTCATGGGCCTTGACAACAACTGTGACAGTTGGGCGTTTTTCGTCCTGATGAGGGACTGTTGTGTCTCAATACACAACAATATTTTTAAAACCGGCATATTATAACTTCTATTTAAACTACTTTAGTGCTCATTTTAATCTACTAAGGTCGCCTGCAGCCCAGAGTTATATGTGCCTCCAGAAGTTGAAGCAACAAACGGCACTGCCCAGCTCATAATAGCTGCTAGAATGAATATCTGGCAACAATAATATTGAAACAACAAATAAGTAGTCTTTGGTGATACATGTAATCCAAATAAGTTTTTATTTCTCACCTTTCCAGAGCCAACTGGGCCTACAATCATGCACAGGTCTCCCTGAAAACAAACAATTAATACTGAACCTAGCTGCATAGTACACACACCATTACCTCAAATAAATAATATGTAATTTTATGGAAGAAAACTGACAAGGAAGTGCTTTTAAATAGAAAAATTATTTGTACCTGCTTTACTTCAAAGCTAATGTCTTGTAAAGTAGCTTTACCAATACTCTCCTGCAAGGAAAACAGGAAGGTGACACTGAGAGCAAGAAATATTTGCTCCTTTCAAGTGGAAAGGAGAATAAAAACTGAGTTCATTCTTCGCAAAGAAAAAAGATTTTATTTTTTTGGTTATACGCTACTGCTTACTGATAATGGTGATGTAAAAGCTAGAACTAAAGATGCCCCTGGATACTTTTCTGTAAGTCCACAAAAATTGCATCATATGTATAAGCGCAATTCCCTGATAAAAATCTGGTCATTATGGTCATAGACTGCGAGCAGTCTCTCTTTTTCTTCAGATTCAGTGAGGGGAGTGCACGCGAGCGCGAGCGTTGAGCGGCAAAGCCGCAAGAGGCGAGAAGCGAGGGCGGCAGCCTGCCTCTCCAATCTCGCGCCTTTAGTCACGCGCCTGGACATTTGCGTGTCTCGCACGTTTTGCTTGAAGGACCAAGAAAAAAGAGAGACTGCTCGTAGTCTATTATGGTCATAATTATGAGGGATCATCGACATAATTACACATCTATGATGCACTTAGCTTGTTCAACAGTTATTATTGAGCAATTATTTTGCAATGTTGACTGATAAAAGCTCAGCTAGTAAAGAAAAAAATATTATTATTTTTATTTTACAGTACAAATTCTTTCCTTGACTCAGGGCAGTACATACTAAGTGTAAGTCCCAATGGCTGTTTGTGTTCAAAGAGATTTGATTGAACATCAAAACGCAGACTGGGAGAAAACATATACAAAAGGAATCTACAAGTCAGGGTGGCAGAAGCAAGCAATTACCATACCTGATTATTCCACGTGCATGTAATGTTGCTAACCGCCACACTGGAATGTCCCGGCCTGGGAGTGGATCTATGCTTTATGTTTTCAAAGTTTAACTCATCCAGCTTCAGAAATGTCTTGAAAATAAATTAAAACAAAAAAGAAAGACATCAAATAGGGTCATCTCATAAGGTGAGCTTATTAATTCTTGTTGCAACTGTATGTCATAACGTCAGTTTTACATTATAACAACATTAGCAAGGCCGGCAGTAAACACTCTGTATTGTACTTATCATATACCAGTACGTAAACTTTAAATCAAGTATTATGTTTTTCCATTTATGCTTATCTTCCTGCTACATGAACAAATGTCACTAAAACAGCAAACCGGGAGTGGGGAACAAGCACCGGGAACAGAGAAATGAGAAATGAGAACAAAACAGAGTATTGGAAATGAAGCCAACTAATAGGGCTAGTCTGATTAGCGTTCAAGTTCACTTTTGTTCCCATTTTTCATTTTCCCATTACTGCACTCGTCCCCACTCCCTGTTCAAGTAACATCTTCTATGAACAAGGAAAACATGATTACCTGGATTTTTGTTGCTGTTTTCCTGGCTTGATTTAATTTCTGCACAGCAGAAAGAAAGTGTCTTGCCAAAGACCTCTGCAGAACAGTAACCATGGCAACTGAGCTGAACACTTTGGCAGCATTAAGGGGGTTACCCAGTAACACATAAGTGATAAACATTGCACAAGTTATGATACTTTGAGAAACAAACCCAGTTGCCATATTAAATGCCTGTAAACACTGGGTCTTGTGTATCCTTGACATTTCAAGTCTAGATGAGACAACAGTAAGCATCAAATCAGTAAGCATCAGAGAAAATGTCCATACATTTACAGCTTACAAACCCACCTGATATGGTGCAGACTTATACATTTATACAAAAGAGAGCATTAATTAAAACCCCACTTAAACCATTGTGATTTACATTAAGAATAAATACAT